ATATATATGTATAACACCGAATTATTTTTGCAACATAGCCATTATTTTCATAACTTATTCAAATGTCTGAACGCACATAATATGTGTAGGTGTTGAAGTCTGTTACACTCTAAGATCTATCTATTTAATAGATTTCTTGAGGACATTCATGTCAATGTGTAAATGTAATCAGCCAAGTGTGAGTCAAGACAGATATATGTAATTATGTCTTTAATTGACTGCATCAAAAATTATTTCAATTTTTGGAATTCCTGTGACGCCTCTTATTCCTATATCTATAGGAAACAGCGGAAGGGCAATTAAAAAACGCCTTTCCGAACATGTTCATTCTATTAATAAATACTTGCGTTTAGATAAGATAAAGAAAATTTTGGATAAGTCCTTGATTTATATTTAAGATGTAGAGATCAAAATACAGAATAAGGAATAGACCCATCGGGCTTACTACCGCCGAAGATGCAGCTAACAGTAGGGAAGATGTTATCCATGTTTAAGGACTCTGAAGAAAAGGGTCACAATTACAGGTGCTTATTATGCCTATTTAATTACGATAATTGATAAAAGAAAACGTCGAGGAAGTTACTCATAGATGTTCTCTTGAATCAGGTTAATAACGTATGTTAATGCAAATGCTACAGTGGATAAGGTGGGCATCGAATTAATTCAGCATCCGCCATGTTCAACAGATTTGGCTCCTACGGACTACCCATTGCTTTCAAAATTTAAAATCCTTGTATAGTAAACGATTTTCGCCAAATCAAGCGGCGATACGTGCGGTAAAAGAGTGGTTTTCAGAGACTGAAGAATATTCTTTGAAAGAGACGTTAGAACCGCTAAAACATCGATAGTGAAAAAGCGTAATACAAATAAAAAACAAAGTGATTACTTTATAATGCCAGCACTAATTCTAAACCGATTATTATCAAGTATACAAAACTTCTCTAACCGAAACAACTGCTAATTTCTGACCGCGCTATTTCACTCTTCAAAAAAGCGTTTTTGGTACACTTGTCCGATAGTTAATGCAATAATTTGTCAAAAATAAAATGAGCGCGCGGCAGATGTTGCTTTGCTGTTTTATTTATACCAGATGTGTGTCGGTATACACAAACGTATTTACACATATAACAAATATTGACTCTAAATGTGTTATCCCATCGGTTTACAGACGTTACATCATACCTTAAAACTTAAGCTAAAATAAAAAGTCATACAACAGAAGATGATAAAGATTAATGTGCTTAAACTAAAAGCTTTTTAATATTAAGCGGAACGGATTTTCATCATAACATTAGCAATTTTAATATGAATTCAGTCCGCTAAAATATTGCTGCATTAAATCGTTGGAAGGGTTTTAGTTGATAGATAGGATGACTGAAATACAAAATGTCAAAAGAAATTACGGATAGACCAAGACATCTTCAAACCAGTAAACTATAGACAGAGACTTTCTTATTGAAAGTTAAATTAAAACAGTGGAATCCGAGAAACAACGTTTATGCTTTGAATTTCTGTTTATTTTTCCTTTTATTCGCTTATAATTTAACATCTGTTGGATGAATTTCGATGCGGCATAAAATATATACAGTGGTATTTGTGTGTACTTAAGTTTTCGAGAAATGGATTGAATCAAAACAGGAAGATGTGGAGGTGCGTGTCCAACCAGTTTTCAGGATAAGGATTCCTTAATATGATAGTAATAGCGAATAATTCAATACAAAATACTGTGATTTTCATGTAGGAATCCATATAAAGAAAACCCTCGACGCAAAACGAAAGAAATAGCTCAGTCCTTTAAGAGTTTGTTTACGGAGTTTAGACTGAACTTACACCACAATATAGAATTTCACTTATAACTAAAGATTTCGTTATTTACTAAAATGTAATGTACGATTTAGATACATCTGTTCAATTTTGTAGTTTCACGCGCCTAACATCTCCTGAATAACTGTCTCATTTATTAACTACAGTGAACAATGCTAAGGCAAATGTAACGGAAGGTAACATATTCGGTAAGTACTAAAATGTATCTGCCCTTAAAAGGGTAAAGGTTGTTACAGATAATATGACCGAAGAGTAAACCAGATCTATCTAGTATCTGTATTATTAGCAAGCCAGCAAGCAAAACGAGGAGGCATCTGGAGAGCGGCAAGAATTCTCGGAATGATCGCAGTGACTAATTGCTAAAGTAACGGTAGCCAATATTGATTTTGATCCTTAAAAGGGACCGGTGTAGTTTTAGAGCAAACAGACTGTCGATTTAAGACATTTCAAACAAAACATTAAAACTTTTATTTCATCGGCAAACTATAGTCAGGCGTAGGTAGCCCCTGTTTGTGAATGTGGTTAGTACATCAATGTAAATGGTTTTACAGGTCGTTGGAAGCAGATTGAATCAGTCGCAAAATTAAACAGTTTTGTTTGCTGATAGAAAACCGTCATTTAAAAAAAAGTCTGTAACTATAACTTACCGATTTTCTCTAAGTCTTTTTTTACAATCCCACTTGCAAATAAAACCAACTCATTAACGAATTTTAGACGGTAACTACTTATTTTGCTTTTGAAGCAGCGAAGATTACTTACAGGTGCCTACCTAACAAGTAAAATAACGCCCGCTATAAATGCGGCATTTGATATCGACGAAATTCCACCCTGAATGCCCTTCGGGGAAAGAATTTATGAAGCAGGAATGCCAATTCTAACAGAGTAACAGGAAATTACCTTTCCTGACTAATATATGTAGGTTTGAGGACATAATATCAACATAAACTCTGAATTAGATAGGTACTTATTGATTTTGATCAAACAAGTTTCGTTCTACCCAAAAACCCAAGCGGATAGTCTATATATTTCACTAATCCAATCCACTTTCTAGGAATAGTATCTAACACTAATTTTGTGGTGTGGTGGTTCAGGTGAGAAAGATGAGACGGACGAAATGAAGACGGAAAAGAATGAAATATTATCTATAGGGTATTTACCTAAGTGATCCAAGGAAACCACAGAAAAGCTTGGATCAAGGCAGACGAACCTGGAATCGAACCGACGTCCTCCCGAATGCTATGCAATGGTCTAAACCTCTAGGTCATGTCACTCGGTCCCAAGTTGAAACAAGAAAGATGATACGTCCATTCTCACAGATAATTTATTGTGGACTTAACCAATTTTGATTGTCCCAACTATAAACCCTATATCTTTGAAATTAAACCCTGAAGCTGAAAACAGAAAACTTCCTCATTGACGGGGAAAGGCTTGCATAGATACCACCCACATAACCCTTATGAGCCTGGGGGATTCAGTTGAGGAGCTTTAACAGCACGTGTGAAGAAACTACACTTACTTTCATTATGCATATATAATGATTTCTTAATATTGATTGTGTTTACATAGGTATGTGAAATTACAACGTCTTCCATTTTTTTGGTTAATCACCAAAAAGAACCAAAGAGATCGGCCCTGTCGTTCAAGGTAATTACAAGAATTACACAATTTATATTAAACACTAATCATGAGTTAGGACCAAAGGAATGCAGAAATGACTGAAGAAGATTGTCATATCAAATTATTTCAATGTACTTATGCTTTAGATTTTGATAAGAATACGAAGAGAAACACTTGATGATAGGTTTTAGGTAGGTAGGTAGGTACTATTTGTATTCGTTTTACTATCAAAATGCAAAGATCAAGTACCTCCTATTAATTTTGTGAAATGCTGATAAGTAAATGAGAGTATTTCGTAAGAGGTATTCCGGCAATATGAAATGCTTCAAGTGGCCTGCTGGCAAGACGTTAGCACAAAAGTGTGAAAATACTTATATGCGGTCCTTCAAGAGAAAAACGAAAGCGGAAGCATTGGATTCCTTGTGATATTTTGCATGTATGATGTGCAAACCTCATCTCTCTGGGTCTAGCGCTAGAGAAATTACAACAGGAAACATTTGTTACATCTCGAATCCTTCCTGGTCATAGACGCAATCGTATAGAATAGAAAAAAAAACAGTAACAATTCATGGAGTGTTAGTGTTTTTGGGGAAACGTTATTTTTCTTACCAAACACCATAGAATTTTTCTACAATAAAAACGACATCTTGCTCTAAAAAAGCCATCAACACGCAAATGAGCCAATCCTACAAGAATCGGTATGGTTCTTCCAGCAAGACAGTCACCGTGTCCAGCTGTCCTTTTGAAAGCTCCTTCCAGCAGGACAAATAAATGAACCTTCTATCATTAAAATGCAGTTATAGGTATATGTTTCATCTACAGCTAACTACGGTCGTCAAACCCTTCAAACATGTTTTAAATCAAGTAGTTCATTTAATTCAGATAGGAGATCGGTATCTTTTCTCATTATCAGTTTCAACCTTTTTGAAAAAAAGAATATTGTTGCGGCAAGGCAAGGCTTCAAATATGAAACAAATGGGCATTGTATAATAACACCATGAGATCAATTCAAGAAGTGGGCATGGATAGAGAGAAGGATTGTTGGATGGATGGATACCTTTCCGCATATCTACCCAAGGGGATCGTCTTAATTTGAATAACAAAATATCGAATGAATAATCAACGTACCATTTGCGTTCCAAGTGAAAAGTTGCAAGAGCAGAGCAAAAAAGACACGGGCCGCAGATAGATCCATCATTAATGCAATGGCGGGCGAACGGGCGGCGCAAACACATTCAATTCAAATCACAACGATCGCGGCGGACGCATTATTTCACACATCGTTGTTACGCCGGCACTTCTTCTTCTTCACACACTCATTGTTGACGGTCCGTTTTTTTCATCGTTGCGAATATCTTGGAGAAGAAATGCTAATGAGTCGGACGAAACGACGCGCCGCCTTCCTCGATCGTCGTCGGCCCGCTTTGAAACTTTTACTACCTTATCACAAGCATTAATCGCAAGTTTTATTATTGTACCCGCAGCACAAAAGACAACAATTAAACGATAGCCAAACTTGTCCAAAGTCTAATTAATTATTCACGTCGAACATCGCCATCCGTTTTCATGTAATAAATAATCAACTGTTAGATCACGCCTGCAAGAAAGAAGGAAAGAATCTCGACTCCGTTACTATTACACTCGAAGTCTGTCGTTCGTATTGTTTGTTGTTGCATGTGGAATATCACAGCACGCTCAGCACGCGATGCCAACTGCGATCGTATTCGACGACGAGTCGTGTGTAAGAATTGGAAATCTGGACGCGAGAGTTGGAGATACTCACGACAGTGCGGCCTGCATGCGACTGATAGTGGGACGGAGCTTCTGTCGCTTGTTGGAGCCGAAACTCACTCCTTGCGCCTGTCTGCCTGCCAGCCTACTCTCTACCTCCTTTCGCGGAGCGCACAAAATCCTGATGAGAGTCCTCACCAATGACCGTTTAGAAAACAAAAAATTAAATGCGAACACATCGCGGTGATTATTTTGTCGTTATCGCTGATGGAGTTCCGAGGAGCATACGTTCCATTTCCTTTCACCTCCTTCTGGGGCTTAACTTCAGCACATGGACTTCTGGACCAAAAGGTGTTATCTATTAGTATTGTATAGAGTCTTAGCCAATATATACGACTCAAATGTGGTTATTGAAGGAGAATTTACAATTTCAAATAAATTTTTTGAAATTATTGCATACCATTAAAACTGAATTAAAATTTTTAATATTGCACTTCTTAGGATCATAAGAAGGTTTTGACCTATCTCGCCTATTTCTTATTGACTTCCGTAGAGTCCTCTGTTCTCCTATTCTTTCTAATACCTCTTCATTTCTAACCTTCTCTATCCACATTTTCCTCATAATTCGCCGGTGACACCACATTTCGAACGCTTCCAATCTTTTCTTTTACTCCGCGTCCACCTTCCACGTTTCGTACACGTACAGCGGCGCGCTCCATACACTTTTTTTCAAAATAATTACCCACTGTTTGCAGGTATATCTAGAACATCACCACCAATACAAACTACCATTTGGTCACATTTTAAATCCAATGAAGATGTCCGCGATAGTGTCCAATGTCACACATGAGGAAATAGTTTCCCAAGATCAAACAACCACGTTTTTAAAGAATCTCTAAAAACCCATGCACCTGGGATATTTTAGTCCGTTCCACATTTTTGATGATTAAATATCTACATAATTATAAATACTGATTTCCTCATTTGCATCCATGGATTCCGTAAATATTGTATCTACAGCATTCCCAGTTTTAGCACAAAACGACAATCCAACAATGTTTTAAAGCGTACACGACGGATTAGGGTGTGCATCGATCCCATTCACCGAGCGGCATGGCCTAGAAGTTTAGACCTTTGCTTAGCTTTCGGGAGGACGCCGGTTCGATTCCGGGTCCGTCTGCCTTGGTCCAGGTTTTTCTGTGGTTTCCTTGGACCACTTAGGCAAATGCTGAGGCAGTAATATTCCACAGATAATCTCTCATTCTCCTCTGTCTTCATTTCGTCCGTCTCAACTTTCTCACCCGAACCACCACCCACCCATTCCCACGATTCCTGAAAGCAGGCTGAAGAGGGCCTTCCGCCCTACCTTCCGGCGTAGTCCGGAGGGACTGCCGGCCCACCAGCAATACTGGCTGGTGGGAATGAAACACCCAAAAGTTTTTTTTTCTTCCCATTCAAACGTTGACGTAGAACAGTTTTAATTAAAAACTAAAACTGTTTTACTTTTTCTCTACATGGATGTATGTAGTCGGCCTGGGTAAGTAAGAAACGGACCACACGATGCAGAGGTTACGTGGGAGTTTGAAAAGATCCCAATCTCGCGATCAAGTTTGCTTTGAACGCGTCTCACATACAGGTAGATCTATATGTATGTATGTTTGTATGTAATGTTTTGCAGTACGTAAGTACAATCGGGCGAGACTGATACCTCGCAATAAGCCTGCGGGATATTCATTTAGCAGAACAGCTTATTCGTACCTTAAAATTTAATGTAATGAGTACCCGACGTTCGTACAGCCATTGCTGTATGCAAATATATGCTCTTAATGAAGTTATACAATTAAGAAAGACAACTCCGCAGAGATGTATATTACTTCTGTTCCAGACAGTTAATCGTTACTTCGTTGTAAACCGCTGCTAAAATAAGAAATAAACTCTTTTTACGGGCTTGCCTTTATCTACACGAACAGGACACCGGAGCTCTGATAGGAATTTTATGCAAACATTGATTTTAATTACTTACACGTTTATTAAAGGCATTTATTAAATTTATGAAGTAATAAAATTACTTGTACGTATTCCCCAATTTCTTTTCACATTATTTTCGAGGTTTATATTCATGTCGGAGCGTATACTACTGTGAACTGAAGCATCAAGTTTTCGGAACGACCAGTGTCACTACCGGCGGTTTCCGGCATTTTCGTGGGTCAACAGGCGATTAAAGCCTATACTGCCAAGCAATAGATGATATTCTTTGAAACGCCTTTTGACCGTCCGTTTTCTTGCTTACTTCTTAAAAACACAATCAAAAATGAATTTAATCCTTAAAAATATGGTTTCCATGAAATAAAATCCAGAATGTACGATAAGGATCGAAAACTGTCGTTTTCACATCATAAACCTCATGATTTTCATCAAAGAAACTGTTTTGCGAGAGACTTCTGTTGATTGTTTTCTCGTTCCGGTGCTGTTGTTGAATGCTTTCCGGCCATAAATCTTCTGAGAAATTAGAGTATCAAAAGCAATTGGTTTCTCGTGGATCTTAGTTGGTTATTAGGGTTTACCAGTATCACTAAAACAAAAAATCCCAAGTAGGACTTTCCTGTAGCCGCTGTTTTTCTTATGGCTTCTTTGGAAAACCATAAAAACTGAAGTGAGGAATTTTAGCCCTTCGTCGGTTGCAATTCACTCCCGCTATGTCGTCTTTCTTCGAGTTGTTACTTTTACCGGAAGTATCAACTAATACAAGAAGTATTGACCAAAATCTGCGTCCATTTGACGGAAGCGACCAATATTCTAACATCCCTAACCACGGAGTGTCGTCAACAGATGAGACGTTTATTCATTTCTATAGATATACTTATTTTAAGTGTGTCTTGAGAATGATAAGGAGCCATGTTTTTTCTTTAATTTAAAAGTGATGTGTGTGAAACAGGGTGTCGACTGGGGAGTATACCAAGTGGGAAGTAGGTTTGTGCAGGGCTGGCACATCATAAGCAAGTATACTTCGTTTACTTTCTGTAGCGATGTGACCTTCAGTTTGACCGGCGCAAGGTAGAAAAGAACAGCACTAGGCCAGAAAAGGAAGGAGACAACTCTCGGCCAAACCCTTAACCGGTGAGGAGCGTACAATCCGAACAGTACTGCACGGAAAAATTGACCATTTTATCCACTACAATTGCATTGCTCAAATGTGCTGTTATTGGTACCATTTACTACTGAAAATATCAACTAGATGTTTATTTATATTTGAAGATATATTAAAGGCTTTAATGCTTGCTTTCGACTCGCACTACTATTTATGATTGAACAAAACTTTTGGCAGGTGCTGTATGAAAAAGTATGTTTAATGAACAAGAGTCGAGAGTATAATGAGCTTTTTTCTCCCTACCTACGATTTTGCCAGCGCGAATCCAATACATTGAAAGGGGCACATCGCTAGAGAAAGTAAATGAAGTATAGCAATATACCATATCGAAGAGAATTGTCAAACTATTGTACATATATAGCAAGTAGAAATGACATATGTCGATATCAGCCTGTTTTTATTGTAAAATGAAATGAAGTGTGCTAGTGGACTGCCATTTGATGATTTATCAGCACTGGGAGCGTTAAAATCGTTTAACGACTATGTCTCCTACTCACTTCTGAAAACGACCAGTTGCGCGATTAATATTTTTTCATAAACCGTATCAAGCCAGGACCGGGGCAGTTTTTCATCTGGTGCTGGTGTAATTAGGTATCGGCGATAACGGGTTGGATGACGTGGGGGCGTCAGACGAGGTGAGAGAACTGACGGAGGCGCTGGCGGTGAAGGCGGCGCCGATAGCGCCCACTTGTGTGCATCAGGTGTCAGCTTACATGTCGCGGACGTGGTGTCAAAACAGGCCTGTTCTTCTCCTTCGTCGCTTCGCAGGACCGACCAGGTTTGTCGTCTGATTGTAAAAATTAACGTTCTCAAGTGAATTTAATTATCACCCCGTTTCGAAAAATTGCAATATCGGATTAAACAGGATTACGCCCATATGCAAAACAACACTAAAAGTTTTGCCAAGTAAATACATCCAGTCAGTTTCCTTTTGCGCTACATAATAGCACCACCAGGAAAAAAGGAAGTGCTGTTTCTTCTGTTTAAACGAAGTAGCCAAGAGACACTAACTAAATCACTTTTTTGCCTTAACACCTATCATTTTTTAACCAACACTGAACATTTTAATCATGATTATCAATCCCAGTTTAATAAAGGCAAATCATTTAGATTGTTGGTCCTACTTTTGATTAAGATTAGTACTCACAAGAGTATTAAATTCAATCGTAAATTAAAAGCACGTTGCTCCTATGAAGATTTAGAAATGATTGCAATCCCGTAGTGCATGTTTACAACAAAAATTTTAGGAAGTTTCTTCGGTTGGTTCACACAGATCATGTCGATGACATAAAGACTTAATAATTTGAGAGTACTTTGCAGCGCAAGGAACATAAACCAATTAAGTATATAACGATGAAATCCTGATATGCAATTTACTTTTAATGAACCTAGTGTTTACTTTCACCTTCAAGCATCTCTTTGAATTCATAAATCGTAGATTATTAAGTAAGAGTATCCTTTAAAATCACTTAAGTAATAGAGAGAATAATTTTGGTCGAGAAACTTCAAGTATTCATAATAGCTTACAAATCCACGAATTAACTGCTACACTACAACTTGGCATAGTTTCACTTCAAAAGAATATGCTAATATGTAAAGGTAATCGATTCTCTATAACGATAATATCGAGTAGATAAATATAATAAATCAACAGAGTTTTAGTGCGTCCGAATTGCAAACAAGTGAATGTGTGTCATGTTTTTGCATCAATACTTTGCAGTATTCGTAAGTAGTATTTTTAGTAAGAAGTATAATCCATGACAGTGACACATTGACTGCCAGATTATGGAAAATCTTTGGTATTTCCAACGGAACCAGAGAGTTCTTTCCCAGAATGTGGGAACATTTTTATTTTTTGGACTGTTTTGCCATGGTCGATAGCAAAATTAACTATTTCAAACATTGGGCTTCTCGAAGCTAGCAGTCTCTTCAGTAGAGGTTTGGGTGAGAAAGATGAGAGGG